CCCATAGTCAGGTGAAGAACTGCTTCTATTCCCTGTTCCCCATGCAAAGTTCCCTCCCCTGTGTCCCCACTGGCTGGGCACTCCAGGGTTTCCAGCCTCTCCCACACTTCTAATTATCCTGTAAGTTTCCTGCCCCCGTTCACACATTCTATTCTAGCAGGTTAAGGTATAATTCTGACCTTTCTTGCCCCCTTGGCAATGACCTGCACCTATTGGATTGGTGTCACCCTGCCCCGAGGAGCAGGGCAGAAGGGGCTTTGTTGGGTCTCATCTTGGCCATCAATCCTGCTCCATGTTTGGATCCCCCAGATGGAGCCCAATTCAGTCCCTCAGTTTCTTGGACCCTAAAACCACTCCAGGTGTCATTGGAATGTGCAGATATCTCATTTCTCTTAAACTATTATATTCCTAACACTAGGGTATAGATAAAAAAAACAACCCAACACTAAGCTTCTAACACTAGGATGCAAAACCAACACTACATTTCATTTCTAACACCCCTAAATCCTGCCCAAGAAGCAGGGCAGCCCTGAGCTTACCCAGTCAGGTGTCATGTCTCCAGAACAGAGGGCTTTCTGCTTAGGTTGCCCAGTCTAAGGGACCAGGAAGATGTTTCTGAAAGGACCAAATTGGCCGGTTTGTCTGGATTTCCTGTTTCTTTAGGGACATGCTGTGTCCCTGCACTGGATGCTCTCTGTGCCTTAGTTTAGGTCTATATTGTGTCAATTATAGCCTGTTGTTTCCCTTTACCTGAGGTCTGAGGTGCAGCTAAAACCTTTCACAGTGTAAATATGTGTTTTAAAAGTGAGGGAAGAAGGAACAGGGACTTGTACCCAGGCAAGAACAAGCTTACACAAGCTGGTCGTAACATATGTAAAGATCAGACAACTGTAAGTCACTTTCTTATGAAAACAGCCTTCATCAGGGTTAGTCTGTTGGCAGGACATGAAAATGGGGAGGATCCACATGAACTTGACAAGCCACGAGCTGAGATGTGACAACGTCCAGTCAGGTTTTTATGCTGAAGTAAAGGCTTGTCCCCTCAGACCAGTTCCTGTTGTGTAATGGCAGTTCCTCCCAAAGGACCTTCCTGTGGGTACAATCATGCTACTAAAGAAATATTTTTGCTAATTTCCAGTTTTGCTTGAGGTACAACTTGAAGAGACCCTATTGCTGATAGAAGTGTCCTTCAATAACGTCTGTCTCATGAAGCATCCGTGCAGATTCACTCAGGTGGGTGTGTTTTTTTCCTAATCATAATGGCTAGAATATCTTCATTTAAATCTCAGAAACAACGATGGCAGCTTGAATAGAAGACCTTCATGTTGGTGTGGTCATGGATTCTGGTCCATATATTAACTGTGATCCACGTGCAGGCATGAGGTGTCCTTTCAATCTATTCTCATCCCACCTGTTTCAAGTAGAAATCATAGAATCATGGAATGGTTTGGGTGGAAAGGGACCTTAAAGATCATTTAGTTCCAACTCCCCTGCATGGGCAGGGACACCTCCCACTCTATCTGTTCTTGTTTGTAAGGTCAGTGTTCTCTCCTTCCTTTTATGGAAGATCTGATGAATGTCAATGTTCTGTACATCTCATAAATGTTGGGCACAAATGGCATTTTCTCACAGAGAAAATGAGAGTTACAACACTGATTTTTTCCAACACCATCTGGTCAGCTTGGGCTAAGGAAGAAAGTAACCTAAAACATGTGTAGGTGCACATATATAGTGACACTCAGCTGGTTTCAGGGGATCATCTGTTGCAGGACAATCAAAATGCTGACTTTGAAGGGTCTGAAGTGCTGGGTGGCTGTGCTGGGGCCTCCTCAAACCCACTGGTGTGGGTCTGGGGCTGAAGAGAGAGTTGCCTGTTCTGACCTCTCTGCCTTTTGTCACGGTGACGTGTCACCTGGGGTGTCTTCACAGTGCCAAAAAACAACTGAAAACAGAGCATGTTTGAATGATGTGCTTTTTGTGTGTCAGAAAGGCCTTGAACAGGTATCATAGAATCATAGAATGGTTTAAAAGGGACCTCAGGATCATTTATTTCCAACTCCCACCAGCCCAGGTTGCTCCAAGCCCCCATTTCACTCACGTTGAAGCTCATTTTGGAGGTCCTAGCTAAAAAAATGAAGAGTTCAGCACATCAACACCACTAACAATGCCCTCTGCCAATTAAAACCACCCAGTTTGAACCCTCTCATTTTCAGTGCCCAGGCATAAAAGTTGCCAAAAACTTTCAGTTAACACCAGTTTGCTCAACACTTTTATCAGAAGCCACTGTCCACGGGGAGAAAGGGCTGTGAGGGATTAAAAAAATGTCCATAGATGTAAAACTTGCAGGAAGAGGGGACAGAGAAAACAGGATCTGAATGTGTCTCAAAGCAGGTCAGAGAGACTCCAGGAAAGCTTGTTTTTCTTTTTAGCCAGCAAAACAGGCTCCCTGGGGGTGCGTGGCCGCTGCCTGGCTTCAGATGGTCAGGGATCTGGAGTCTCCTGTCCATGTTGAGGTGATAAAAGGGAAGTTTGGGGGCAGGAGCGGCGCGGAAGGTCCCGCGCAGGGCCCGGGCAGGGCCCAATGGAGGCGCCGCCGCCGCGTTCCCGCCCTCGGCGCTGAGGGGGAGGGCGGGACGAAGCGAGTCAGGGATCTGGAGTCTCCTGTCCATGTTGAGGTGATAAAAGGGAAGTTTGGGGGCAGGAGCGGCGCGGAAGGTCCCGCGCAGGGCCCGGGCAGGGCCCAATGGAGGCGCCGCCGCCGCGTTCCCGCCCTCGGCGCTGAGGGGGAGGGCGGGACGAAGCGAGCTGTCAATCATCGAAACGTCGCTCTCTGATTCGCTGCGGGGCGGCGTCACGTGGGAGCGGGCTGCTCGGATATAAGCCCGGGCGGGTGAGGCCTCCGCCGCCATTTTGTCCAGTGAAGAAAAGCGGAGCGGGAGGCTCGTAGGAAGGGATCGAGGCGGG